TAAGAAATGTGCGGCCCCAACCTAAATCGTGTGTGTAAATGCTTTTTCGCTATCAAGGCAGGTCTCTGCCCCAAGGAGGCCCCAGATTGCAATACTCATTTTATTTGGGGGGGAATGGGGGAGTGTTTTACTGGAATATTTATAATGGGGCTTACTCACAAATTATTGTAATCCGAGTTGGGAATCCGGAGCGTGCCAAATCCAGTTTGGTTCAACCCACGTTCAGTCCAGACCCGGGAGCAGCAAAGAGAGTTTTGCTGCTTTGTATAGGGTTGCTCCTTTCCAGCTTTTCAGAAGCGCCTTGTCGAAAGAGCCATTTCTAAATCTGTCCTCAGATCCAACCCGTTGCCTCTCCCCTACCCCGCATTAAGACCCAACACGAAAGCTTTGCCCGCGCGCCCATCCTTTGGTGGCTGAAGTCGATGGGATTTTTGCGCAGCCCCGGAGCGCATAGGATTGCAGCCAAAAGCAAACTCCCGCAGATGGGATAGCAAGGAGTCCTTTCTGAAGGGATCTTGAGCCTGCAATCCTAAAGCGCGCAGCTTCTCTGAGGCTTATTTCAAGAACAAACGCAACACACGATCCTGCTGTAAGTGCGCTTAGAACTGAGGTCTAAAGTTTGCGCGGAGCGCTGGTGTGAAAACATTTCGTCTGAACATTTCAGGGGACTAGTGTTGTATTTACTCCGGCAAAGGTGGGAAAATGTTTTTATTTAAAAATAAATAAATAAATAAATATTTGGCTTAAGAAGGCAGATTGCTTTTGCCCAGTGGAGCGATCTCAGTGTGTCGGTGCCGTTGGGCGAATGTAGGATACCATTCCCCGTTGCTTGTTGATTGAAAATGCCCTGCGTATTTAAAGCACGCGCAGCGCGATCCTAAGCAAGTTTGAATGCAAGAGCAAAACAAAACAAAACTCTGAAGCAAGCTCCCCCCCCCCCCGCCGCCCCTTGCCGGCAGTACAGTCCTTATCATTTACACTGCCCTAGGAAAGAGCTTCGTTGAACCTAGTGGGACTTACTTCAAAGTAAAGCCGGGTGCGAGGGATCGGGGCCCTCCCTGCCTTGGGCTCCAAAAGAACCCTCTAGATGTCTCCCCAACCTGATCTCAGAGTTTGATGTACCCTCCTGCGGGTGGGGGGGAGGAGATAGCCTTTGGGGTCTGGGATAAATTTGGAGGAAAAGAGCAAATTTATCCCCGCCTTGAGCTATACTTCACTCAAGGGGGGGGGGAGGAAAGAAAGAAAGAAAGAGAGAGAGAGAGAGAGAGAGAGAGAGAGAGATGGAACGAGACAATAAAAGGACCCTGCTAACCTTTTCTTGTCGGGGGGGGGGATTGACCATATGCTTAAAATGAGTGGACGTGGATTGCAGAGTGCGGGGGGGTGCGCATCGCTTCCCCGAGGGCTCAGGTAGGATCTTCCCTGCCTCCCCCCGACGGCTGACACCGATGTATCTGCATTAGGGTTAATGCCCCCCCCCGCCCAGCCCTTATTAATTGACTCCGTGTTTGGCTAAAGTCTGTAATCTTCTCCTCCGCCGCACCATTAAAAACAGGTTGCCTTTTTCAATTAAGAGCTGCCTTCAGCCCCACAGTCAATTCTCCTAATGACAATACATTATATTTTCACTGTTCTCTCTCTCTCCCCCCCCCACCCCCAACTACACGCACAACCCCCAACTCCGAAAGAATGGGAAATCCTACGTTTTCATTAGACGTGATTAGCGAGAAAGTCCAAGAGGGAGGGAGATGATTTTTTTAAAAAGGGGGGGTTGTTGTCTGAACTAAATACCGGGGCCTTCTTCTTGTGTATTATTATTAAACCACCACGCTTTTAAATAAATTGGGATTTCGTACAGAAAGCCGGAGGGGCGGGGAGGCTGGCCGACGTGGCTCTCTTCAGATTAAATGCAGAATATTGCATTGCATCTATTGCACAGCGATGGTCATTTAACCGACCTGATCGGATCCGGTGTTGGGGGTGAGGTGCGAGGGAACTGGGCGAGAGAATGATTATGATTTTTTTTTTTTAACCAACTTCCCTCCACTCTTAGCTGCAATTATTCGGGTAAACTTTTTTTAAAAATAAAAAAATAAAATAAACCCCTCCCTTCTCCTTCCCCAAACCCCAATTTAGTTCGCATACATTAAAAGCGCGGAGATCAAGTTTTGAAATGGCCTCTCACTTTTGGAGAATGCTCAGCTTTGGAGAACAAATAAACCGGTTTAATCAGGCAGAAACGCGGGATAAATGGGGAGAGCGATCTAGATTTACACATTAGGGGTTCGGGGAGAGGTGGTTGTTGCTGTTGTTGTTGTCGTTTTGATTTTCGCTCAACCACTCCAGGTTGAAGCATTTTGGGGAGAAAGTCCGTTTTTGGCCGACTTCGCCGGCATCCTGAACTCCCTTCCCAGTCTTGCGGTTTTGGAAGCAGCGGACTCTGCGTGACGGCAAAGGGGGGAAAACTCCTGAAAGTCGAGACATTTCTTCGCATGGGATTTAAGGAGCTTCGAAAGAAATCTAAGCATTCCTCTTTGCTCTCTTTTCCATTTTCAGGTCTTGAAGGATAGAAGGAACATGTGTTGGAAAGAGTTTTAGCTTTTCCCCAGGAGCCGGCATTGTAAATATTTAATTCAAAATTCACCTCTCGACTTTCACGAGTCAGATATTATTTTCGACGGGGTGGGAGAGAGTTTCAAATAATTTACATTTGTTGGTGGTTGGGAGAGGATTTGGAAATGGGCAAGAGGTCAACTCGGAATAGCAGCCCGGATGGAAAAGGTGAAGAAAAAATAAAACCTCTCTTCTGGCAAAAAAAAGAAAAAGGGGAAATTAATTAGATATATATAGAAATTCATTTTGTTTTGGGGTTGTTGCAAACAGCTCTCCCTCCTTCGTTTACTTCTATAAAATAGTGTTTTGTTAGATTAAAAATAAAAAGAAACCTAAACTGAACAGTCCCCTATGCTATCAAGCAGAGGCTACAAAAAAGTTTTGCCCCCCCCAATTTAGTTTTCTGTTTCCCTCCGATTAAACTCTTCCTCGTCGACATTATATGGCACCGATTCTCCAAATAAATGATGGGTTGTAATTTAATAAATAAAAATAAATCCAAGGATAGTGAGATAAAGTTTTTTTGGGGGGAGCGTTTGTGGGAGACGCGCCTTATAAAGAAACTTTTCTTCGACGTGGAAATAAAGGTTCTGTTTTGGCGGGGAGGGGGAGGTTACAAACGAAAAAGATTAGAGATTGTCTCGAACTGCTTTAAAAGCCTCTCTGGGGTAGCCTTTTCTTCTTCCTCACAGCCTCCCCCCCACCCCCCTCTCGCTTTGGGCTGGTTAGATCCTTCTCTCCCCTCCCCCCACCCGCTTCCTCTCCCTCTCTTTTCTATCAAGTTTGCCAACACTCGCAAATATATTGGACTGTAATGGTTGTTTTATATGGAGACTGGATTATTGAAGGCGGTGGCTGCGCGGAGCCAGACGGGCAGAGGAATCAGGCGAGGCGGGGGTGGGTAAAATAAAATAGAGTAAGGGGAATTGCCACTTCCCGCGCGCCCCTCCAAGTCCCGCGCGCAGCCTCCGCCCGATCCACATCTCACTTCAGAGGTGTGCAGCGGAAGGATGCGCTCAGCGGGGCGCGCTCCCGTCTCCAGCCAAAGGGGCTTCCTTAATTCGGTCCGAGCGGCGCCCGTCGAGGCACCAGGCTTGGAAGCGAAGCGCGCTGCTCTCGGATCCCAAGAGGAAGCAGGAGAATAGGATACAGCTGAGAACATCGATCTGCTGTGCTTAGGATCTCGGGGTGTTTTAGGAGGGCTGAGGATTTGCAGGGTCGAGTTAAAAAACAAGGGTACTTGATGAGGAGCGCATGAGCGCACATCCCATCGCTTGAGCTGAGGGGGTTTGTGGGGGGGGGTCAGCGGTGTGTGTGTGTGTGTGTGTGTGTGTGCCAGTCACTGCTTTGCCTCAGCTACTCCTCATAGGTTTTGCACACTCCCCTCCAGTGTGCCTGGAGCATCCGAGGCGCGCACGTGCTTCTGCGGGAAGACCTTTGCACCCTCGGCCAACGCAAAGCGATTTTCTGATATTAAAAGCGAAGCGAAAGATCGCGACAACTTTCACAGTTGCTTCGGAGTTCACTGCTGAAGCGCTAGGAGCAAACGCTCCGGAAAAGAGACGGTGTGAATCTATATAATGCCTCTAGTCTTGTCTACACATATGTGCTTAGGGAAGAGGAAATCCGTGCAAATCTGGACATCATCTTTGGCACACTGAATTATAACACTCAAACACACACACACTGACCCCATTCACCCACCTCCGCCATTTTCCCTGCAGAAGATAGCAATAATAATAATAATAATAAACAAAAACAAATAAAATTAGAACATTCGATGCGCGCTAAAGCTGGACTAGATCTCCTGGGAAATTGACTAGACGCCGCCTCCTCTCTCTCTCTCCACCACCTTAACCTCAATTTACTGTGGTCGGAAGGCAAGCCGAGAGAGTCAAGGGTTAAAAAGAAGAAGTGAGAAAATCTCTGCTCATCTTCAAAGAAAGTTTGGGGAGAGTTTGGGAGGACGAGGCGCGGAGCGAGGCTCTGAACCGCGGAAGGGTCGAGATGCCTTTCGGGGGAGGGTGCGCTCAGAAAGGGGTCTGGGGTGGTGGAAACGGCTCCTGTGGCTGGGGGGCGGCGGCTATGTGCTAGAGGAGCTGGCTTGAGAGCTATCTTCCTGCCCTCCTCCAAATAAAAAAAAAACCACACACACACCCTTTCTACTGGACCACTTTTTCCTTCGCCAATATGAGCAGCACTTGACAGGTTAAGTCAGTTAAACTTCCAATAAGAGAAAACAAAGACCGGGGCATCATTTGGAGGAGCGCTGAAAAGTCCAAACCGGGGTGGGACTGGGTAAGATGGGGTGGGGGGGGTAGGGAGAAAGAGAGAGGGTGGGGGGAGGAATCCGGATCTTAAAACAGAGACTCGCAAAAGTAACTTACTGCGCGCTAGGAGTGAGCTTTTCTCTTGCCTCCTAGAAGGAGCTGGAACAGCCAAGTTTCCACGGCGCCTTATCCAGAGCTGATCCCGGCTTTGGGGCTGTAAAGATTCCCAAGTGGACCAGGGGAAAAAATAGAGAAACTTGCGGAGAAAGGAGGAGGAAACGCTGGCTTTTTCTTCCCCCACTAAAACAAAAAAAAAGCGCGACCCACTTTTTTTTCCAGATGAGGAAGACCTGCGCCCCCCCACCCCACCCTTTCACCTAACTTTTCCATCAGTTGCAAAAAAAAAAGCCTTGCCGGTACCAGGCGCTGATCTCCCCAAACCCTGTGCAGATTCTATTCCACACACTAAAAAGTCCCCCCTCGCTTCCCCCTTCTCCCCCCTTTTCCGATCCAATCTTTCCCTTTTCCTTTCCTCTCTCCTGCACTCCTTAATTTATTTATTTTTTGTCAGAGTCGTCTGGGCATCCGTATAGCTAAGCCTAAAGGAAAGGGCTGAAATTCTCTTTTGATAAAGCAGTGTTCTCTCAGCGACCCGGTTTTAAAACCTAAATCTATATTCAAATCTGGCTGAAGGTGTGTTCTGGGATTTATGAAAGCCTCTTAAAGGGGTAAATTTACCAAACCGTGACAAAATCACGGCGATCTTGCTTTTTTAGACATCTGAAGTGGATGGAGAATTTTAAAGAGCGAGGGAGAGCGGGCTGTTTATTTAAGGCGCCCAACACACAGCAGCCAGTGCCCATTTCTGGCCAGTTGATTTTATTAATGGCCGCGAGATTATGCCAAAGTTATTGGACCAGGGGGCAAAGGGGGCAAAGCAGCGGAGGGGAGAGGGGGGCGGAGAGGGAGAAAAGAGAGACTGGGAGCAGGGAGAAGGCAGGGAGAGCGTCGATTCTCCCCAGCTGGCCAGCTCGCTCTGAACACAAGCGACAGGAGAAGACCGAGCCAGTTCCAAAAAGCAGGTCCATTTCAGAAGCGCATCTTCGACCCCCCGAAAACGGCTCATTACCAGGCTGGGGATAATGTCTCCCACACTAGCGAGGTGAAGTGGGAGCCTTCTCTATTTCCCTGCTTGGTTTGTTCATTGTCCAGATCTTCTTCCCAGTCCCCAACTCCCAAAATTCCCCGCTGTCCGCTAACCTGCCCAAACTTTGTCCTGAGGTTCGCACGATTTGGGTAGTGTTGTGTTGTCTTGTGTTTTGGTTTGTTTGTTTGTTTGTTTAAATCCCATTTTGGTTTCAACAGAGCAGGCATTCCTTTCCAGGAAGAGCCTGGGAATAGGATGGAGTGTTTGTTGTAAGTAGGATTGGGGCGCAGGGGTGCAATCCGGTCAGGGCTGCGGCGGAGGAGTCCGGAGAAGGAGAGGGGGCGGGCGCCCATATGCCAGGGTTGTTCTACCATAATGCACATTGCCATCTAAAGAGCGGGGGGGCACGCAGGGCCCCCACCCCACCCACAATAAGACCATTAAGTCCAGAGTCTAAAATTACCTAACTGCTGCACCGGTGTCGAAGGTCTTACACATACACAGCAGCAACGCACACGCGCACGTATTTGCAAAGAACTGTCGAGGGATGGTTGTGGATAATAATTCTTTGCTGGCTCGTTAAAAGGAGTTCTGTGGGGGCGACAAGGGTGGCGAGAGAAGGACTGGAGGCTTTTTATCTCCTCTCTGCTTGAACAGGGCCCCGCGGAACTCAAAAGTAGGAGGCAGCCAGACCCACACGCACCAGCTTCTGAGTCCTTTCCAGATTTCCCCAGCCACCAAAGGGCGACAAGTCTTGAACACAATCGAGAGAGGGTGTCCGGATTGTCTCCTTCCAGACTGCTCCCTGTGTACAGCCAGGCCACCTCGCCCCCATCGGAAAGGACAACGTTGGGTAGAAATGAATAAAGTTGAAATAAACCCATCACCCCCAAAAATAAAATAAAATAAGAAATAGAAATAAGTTTCCAAAAGCAATCCAGCCGGAGATTGTTGGAGAGGAGGGAGAGGAAAGTCATGGGTTGAAAATCGTTGGCTGGGATGCTTTGCAATAATTCGTTAATTGCAGTGGGAAACGCATTTGATTGCAACACATCCCCCGTCAGAAAGCGACATAAAGAGGCGATTTAATTGGAAGGACATCAATAGCGCAAAATGCCACTTTCCACTAGCGTGACAGAGATCGAAAAGTTATAATAATAATAATAATAATAATAATAATAATAATAATAATAATAATAATTTCTCGCGTGCAAATATGCACACCCTGTTGATGAGACATTCGGTTTGCTAGCTTCAGGATCGCCCGCAAAACCGACGGCGGCTGTCCAAGGGGGAGCAGCCAAATTATTTTGCGCAGCGCCGAGCATACATCGGTGAGGCAGTTGGAAGAGATCGCCCCTGTTCCCCAGCCCTGACGTGAAGCGGTTTGTGACGAAAAAATTTCAGTTTAATCTGATTCCGTTTCATCCTGTTCCAGCGGCATATTGGATGGGAGGCCGGGCTTTCGAAGGCCTTTAAAAATAAAATAAATCGTACTGCTTTGCTACCCGGCTCCAGACTTCGGAATGCGGCGGGTGATCTTCCTCTTTCGCTTGGTGGGCTTTTTCAAGAAGGTCGACCGGGGGAGGGGGACACCCACCCCCCTCCCCCAAATAATGTGAACAGTTCCTGGACAGTTCCTTGTAGAGATATGTGTCTGCGTGGGAATTGAGAGGAGGAGGATCATAGAATCATAGAGTTGGAAGGGACCCCAAAGGTCATCCATTCCAACCCCATGCAATGCAGGAATCTCAGCTCAAGCATCCATGACTGATGGCCATCCGATCTCTGCTTAGAAACCTCCAAGGAAGGAGAGTCCGCCACGGTATTCCAGGTGTAGTCCAACTAAGGCAGAATAGAGTGGTACTATTACTTCCCTTGAGCACTATACTTCTTTTGATGCAGCATAGAATAGCATTGGCCTTTTTTGCTGCTGCACCCCACTGTGGACTCATGTTCAGCTTGTGGTCCACCAAGACCCCTAGATCCTTTTCACACGCACTGCTACTAAGCCAAATGTCCCCCATCAATATTGGTATCCATGGAAATCCGCAGCTTTAGAATACAGTGGTATCTCGGGTTACAGACGCTTCAGGTTACAGACTCCGTTAACCCAGAAATAGTACCTCGGGTTAAGAACTTTGCTTCAGGAAGAGAACAGAAATCGTGCGGTGGTGGTGTGGGAGGCCCTATTAGCTACAGTGGTGCTTCAGGTTAAGAACAGTTTCAGGTTAAGAACGGACCTCCAGAACCAATTAAGTTCTTAACCCGAGGTACCACTGTAATGAAGTCAAATGGAACTGCGGCTTGACTCGGACCTGTGGGGCCTTTAATAATTTTAATAATTTTATTATTTCTACCCTGAACCATCTGACTGGGTTTCCCCAGCCACTCTTTCGACCTCTCTGGACTCTGGAAATACTTGCAGGGCCTAAACTCAGTGTCTCCACACACACACACACACACACACACACAATTCTTCCTGATATGCACAGACCCCCTTCCTTCCTTCCTTCCTTCCTTCCTTCCTTCCTTCCTTCCTTCCTTCCTTCACATCCCTTATGTTACTGTTTCTTTGTATGCCGCCTTTCCCCCCAAAAGGCCCCAAGGCGGTTCACAAAGAATAAACAAATGCATGCGAATAAACCGATACGATTATTTCGGTGGTTTTCGATGTTGCACTTTCTTCTGCCTTTTTGGGTTTTTTGCCAGCTAGATTCCTTCCCACACACCTCACTTTCTGATATTTACTTACATTACCAAGGTGCTAATCGTCCCCATCTCCCTCGCCCCCCCCTTCCCTTTCTCTGCCCCATTGCAATAGGGTAACTCGAGCCTGGCTCGCCCACCCTGGGAACTGCAAGGTCCCTTGACTTCTTCTCCCCAGAATATGTGCATGTGTGTTTTAGAATGGGGGGGGGTAGCATTTCTCATATATATATGACACACACACACACACACACACACACACACACACACACATATTTTGTGTGTGTCTTTTTTAAAAGTAGCTGCTATTTGTTGTCTGATTGCCCCCCTGGCGACGCTGTGCCCTGTTTTTCCTCTTCCCCCTGTTGTCTGTTTTTATTCTCTTCCCTCTGGCTTAGATGTGTCAATCATTCCCTGCTTGCCATTGGTTGGAGAGCCCGCGTCAAAAAAGTTGCCCGACAGGCGCTTTCGCAGCAAACCAACCCGGGAGAGGGAACGAGGGAGAGAGAGAGAGAGAGAAAGAGAGAGAAAGAGAGAGCAAGGGAGAGAGAGAGAGAGAGCCCTTCCAGCGTTCCGCCACCATTATTCAAAAAGTCAAATCTTACTCCAGCGCAACCTGCCACGACGCCCCTCCACTGTCCAGAGGGGGGGTTGTGGGGGTGCTTGGGGGTGCTTTTTAATTTTTTTCCAAAAAAAATATATTGTTTAAGAATCAGGTAGCATATTTTGCAAACCCTCCCCTTCCTTCCCCCCAATAATCACAATAATAACTAAATTTAAAATACAGCTTTTTTACTTCTTGAAGAAGGCGGAAGGTGTCTAACGCTCTTCCTTGTGGTCTCTTTTGTAGGAGGAACAAACTCTGGCTTTGACGAACTCGGATAACTCGGCCGCGTTGTTTTGCCCCTGCTTTTTTTAAACGTGGAGATTTTCTTGAAGCTTTAAGGTAAGTGAGAAATCTATCTATCTGTTACCTTTTTTAAAAAAAAGGATTGATGTTTTATATCTTGTTGATTTCATTTTAAAAGAACGCTTTAACCGGAACGTTAAGAGTTCCCTCCCTTTTAAAACCTCGAAGCGTTAAAAAAAAGTAAGTTGCATTTTAATTTAATGGGACTTTATCATTCCTAGAAAAGGACATGTGTATATGTTTGTTCGTTTTTCTTAAAGAAGCGGTTAGCTCTTTTCCCTGGAATTACAACAGTGCCAAACGTATCTCGGCTATAGAGTTCTAGATATTTTGTTTGTTTTCCTAAAAAGTCGTTAAAATGTCACCTTATTATTTCGATTCCGTTTTGCAGAACGACTTGAAACGAGCACGTCGTGTTTATTCCATTTTTGTTTTCTTTTTTAAGCCTCTTCGGCTCCGCCTGGGCCTTCTGGGTTAATTGCTTTTCTTTTCTCGGGGGCGGTGGAAATAAAAAAATAAACCAGAATTTTCATTCCGAATGAAAATTTTGCAAACCCTCCCCTTCCTTCCCCCCCAATAATCACAATAATAACTAAATTTAAAATACAGCCCAATGAAAATTCAAGAGGTATAAAGCGGGGGGTTTTTTGGGGGGGAGGG